TTGCATCCACATTTTTCAATGCAGATAAATATCAGAAGTAGCATCGTCAAGAAAATCTCTCAGCCAGCAGAGAGCATCGTGTTCCCTGACAGCATCCCAGACACCTTCCTCGGCACGCAAGAGAGGTTGATGCTCGGCCACCTTGTTCGTGGAAGCATTCGACACGACTCAAAGCCACGCCGTGGCAAGGCTACTGTCACGTGCACCGTACACCCAAAGCCTCAATCAGCCAAACTTCCAAGAAAAAAAAGAGATGATGTTCTCACGGTGGCCTGCCGTGACCACCCTTTCATTTAATTTTATTTTTATTTTTATTGTTTTATTTAATTTAAATTTATGAATGATGCCCTGACTGGTGAGCATTTTAAATTTCGTTGTACTGGTGACAATGACAATAAACGATCTATCTTACGATTGACAATGGCACATCCTCTGTGCGTGGACGTTTTGCCACTCGCCCCGCTCATTATAACTGCGGCACACGCAGGGAGAATTTGATCGAGATAAATGATCGCCGTCACCGGCTTGACAAACGAAACGCAATCGCGCTCAAATTCCCCGTCCAGTGGCCATCTCGGTGGGAGAAACAGACCGCGGAATGTGCACTTTATTCATTTGAAGCGACAATAGTTAGCGTTGTTTTATGGGCAGGGCATGCAAGTGTTCATGCCAGAACAGAAAAAAGCCTAGGTGCTGTCATATTTGTCCATCTGCAAGGGTCACAAGACGCACGTTGGAAATGGCAGCACGGCAGTCGGTGTGCTCGTGTGTGGCTTGTGTTAGTGGTGCATTACTGAATTAGGCAAAAATAGAACTAATCTCATTTACTCTCACATGATGCATTCTAAAGAGCAACTTCCCCCCCCCCCCGCCACTGTAATGATTGACTTGTTTTTGGTACAAATATGAAAATATACATTCTAGATTTTTTTTTTATGGCTAATAGGCGAGATTGAGGCGAGATTGGTGACAGAATGACAGCCAAAAGAGACAATTTGGCTGTGAGGATGACCGCTGTGGAGATGAAACGATGATATCCACTCCTGTGCACTAGCGAGATAGCTTATGACATCGCTGGGTAGATGATTCATACCAGGTCAGCGTTCTGACACAGCACGGTGAACTCAGTTACGAAGCAATACAAATAATTGGTGTGGTTTCTCAATCAGATTTCTTTGTATTATATCTAGTTTTTTTCAGAGCAGACGCCCTGGAGGCATGTGGTTGACTCAACTGTGACTCAGTCATCATTAAACGGTGTTGAGTAATGCGTGAGGTGCCCAGACTGCCCACGTGGGTCTCCGGTTATGTCAGGGCTGGCACAGGCTCCACCGTTACATTCGCCTCCCATCGTGAAGGGGATTCCCTCAACGACATTTCACCTTAGAGCTGACTCCCAGAAGGCCGTGTGGCGGCTGGGTTGTATGAAAATAAACGTTTATATCTGTTTTACGTGGAGAGGCAAATGTATGAAGGAGACGTATGGTTTGCATATCCATTTTGTTACTTATATTCTCCACAACAACGCTGATTGTTTTGTGTTAAAACTAATGGATACTGCTGCTGATGCCTTTATTGTTTCCCACTAACACAGAGGTCCGTTCAAAGTAAATGTTTTTTTTTACTATTTTCGACATTTAACAGGGGTTTCCCCTGAGCTGATGGTGGAAACTCCATGTTTCAATAGCAGGGACCAATCATCTGAAAGGGACAACGAACGTTGACTCAATTTTCCAACCCCCCACAAGGAAAGATGGGGTGAGTTAGCCCAGACCAGGATTTCTACTCAAGGCAACATGACCACGAGCCGATGACTTGAACCAACTGAGCCACTCTCCATGCATTGAAGATCAGATTGAAAGAAGAGTGAACATTTGGCTGGCTATTGTTTACATAACTACAGAATGCATTCATGTTACGATTGAGTTCACTCCAAATTAGAATTTGAACTCGCAAAACTTCTGATGAGGGATCGCGCGCGATAACAACACCACCACCTGAGCGAGGTGACACGAGGAGATTACAATCTCGTTACAAATGTTAAGTGCTGAAAATAAACATGTCATTCGTTCGTCATCCCTCCGAGCAATGTGTTCTGCCCAAGCCCACTTGCATTCCTTGCCAGTTAATCTGGTGTCTCCAACTTGTGTTAGTCGATCAATGCCTTTTGTTGTCTCTCAGTATAATTCCACACACACGTGCATCCATCCATGCTTTAGCTTCGGTCCATTGTTTTATGTCGATGTCCACGTGTCTGGTTCTTATGTCACGACAGGTAATATTGCACTCATTAAGAACGCTATGTGGGCACATTGGTTCGCTGCTTTTCCAGATCAAAGTCAACTTTCCGAAAATAACTCCACTCTGCTCTAGAGTTCACCTCTTTCACGTTACCATTTTAGTCCCGGACTTGTTTTAATCCAGCTAAGAAAATATACCGAAATTATTTTACAGAAAATAATCTTAACAACTGTAATCTGAAGAGGTTGCATTCATGAGCTGCTTGCTATATTTAATCAGAGTTGCAGCATTTGTTTTTAATACCACTGTCACCAACTCGTTTCGATCCAAGTCACGATCCAGAGGAGGCTCTCACCAAGGCATGTAACTCACCCGACCCACAGTGGCTCTCTCAAGAGTGCCCATTTTAGGCAGAGCCGACCCAGAGGAGGTGCCAGAGCTTGAATTAAGCTGTGGCCTGCGGGCAGGGTGCTGGCACACATGGGCGATTGCGAGGGGCCGGCCATGCTCTAATAGCACACAATTGGGAGCTGCGCTCACACCTGAACGCCCTGAAGCAGAGCTCGAGAGCAGCAGGCCCCTCTCGTGTCGCCGACCGGGTAGGGGACATTCCATAATTGTAAAAGAAGGATCTATTAAAGTTCAAGCACCCCCCCCCCCCCTCGACCACCTAACTCCTCATCTTCTCCTTCCCCTGGTCCGACTTGCCTGCAGGCGCCCTCTCTCTCCCCAGGTGCATTGCGCGATAAGCAATTTGATTAAAACATTTGTCAAGAATCAAGAGGAACATTTTGAAATAATGAGCCATACCCTCAACAAAAATTGCCTTTGGTTTGTATCGTCGGCACATGCGTGTGGATGTATGAGGTGCATCGATTTGGAATACACCAGGTTGGTTAAGATGGTCAATCTCCAATTCCATCCCCACACCATCCTCCCTAATCTCCCTGTGCAGCCTTACCCACGTGTCATATCCAATCCATTGTGCCACACAATGTGTATTGCGTGTCGATTTATGATAATTAACAGCTTGAATGGACACGTATTGTATGTGCGGTGAATGCAGGTTTAGAGGAAACCCATATGAGGAAAAAAACGTAACTCTGCATATAGGTCTGCAACCTACCTGTTGTACTGCCTCTCATAGGAACCTTGTTATTGCTTGCAGGTCAACGTGAGTTCATCGTACTGGTGTCACGGACAATGTTATTTTGGATTGTTGACTAGATGTCCATTATACATAGTTCTGGTTGTTGACTATTGTTGTTTATTAGTCATGTGTATTAGTCATGTCAATCGTCATATTAGTCATATAACCCTTTCTGGCAATAAAACAGTTGTGTCAAGATGTTAATACACCAAACGGAATCCTTGTTCAAGGAGTCCTGTGTCTGCCTCCTTGAATAAGGACTCCGTTTGGTGTTTTAACATATTGATACCTGTTTCATTGCCATACATGGTAAAACCTATTGTTATATTTCAATACTGGCAAGAAAGGTCCCATATATTAGTCATGTTTATAAAATAAAAATTCCCTTTTTTCTCGACGCAACTCCTGCAGACCCTCCATTCCCATTTGCCACGCCTGTCACTTTGTCTGGGTCGACATTGAAAAATGGCTTCTTGTCTCAATGGGCCTCACCCGAAATAAACTGACTAGCATGACCCACCAACCCTAGCTCAATTTCGAGGAATTACCAATTTGTGCCACACCGACCCATCCCTACGTGGCCATCCTGGGTGTTCTAGATAAGGGGAAGTGGCCGTTGCACGTGGGCAGCAATGACAGCTTCTGTGTCATTAATTCGTGGCCATGGTTCTGCTGGGTGTGCTTCCCGTTGTCTTAGGGTCTTTAAACTGCTCTTCATTTGTCTCAAGTATGATGAAATGCCAGTTTTACAGTTGATTTGCTGCTCAAATGAGCATTGCGGCAGTGCTCATGTTCTGTTCTCAGCCCTGAGCCAGTCACAATTTACCATGCGGATATATCGTGAATTCAATAATTTCCCACGTATTCAATACGTTTGCTTAGGAAATAATTTATGTAAAACGTGCCATGCGCAACAGTATTGTATCCAGTAACCTAATTTCCAATGCATTAGTAACGATGTACTGCATAGTTACTCATGAACTATGAACAACTTTTGTATCTATTGTATGTTGTACATACCATGAAATTATAACATTAAATTGCTTTTCTAGGCTATAAAGTTGATTTAAGTTCAATTCTTATTTCATATTTTCCCCATCTCAGTAAGAAAATATTATTTTCCTACTTTATTTTAACTTAACTGATATATCTCTCTTCTTGGTTCTTTCGGTAAAGTCACGTAGAAGGGAAGAAGATGAATCCCTGCAGTCACGAAAGCTTTAAATTGATATATCTCTAAAGCGTTTCCAAGTATAACATTTGATCAGTAATGCGTGAACACTTCTCTAACTTCAGTTATATTGGACAACGTTTGCAATGGCACCTAATTGTGTCTGAATCTGTGTACAAAGTGGCTGCATTTTCAAGAGAAATGTTTACATTATTTTGCAACAAGTGTGTGACTTCATGAAAATGAACACCATTATGCAATAGCCTATTTTCACCGTCTGTCAAATTTGACAACTGTTTCAATGAAAGTCGGTTCAGGACGTGTAATATTTGTGTCACAAGCCCTGCGGCTGCCTACGCCACACCCTACATCTCACCTGAAATGTACTCTCCGACTCCACCGTACTCCGCCGTGTCCCGCTATCTGAAAGGCTGCTATTCGAGAAATTTCAACAACTTCCAACAATGCAAAACACACGAATAAACGCACAAGTGAAAAGGAAAAACATAATTCAATTTTTTTTTATTTTAATGGAATTTCCGCAACGTGTGCAAAACGTAAAAGTGAAAAAATAGAACATGTGGTAATAAAAAAATAACAACGTAATAATTAATCTCAAACCCATAACCTTTTAAAAGTATGGTACAGTTCATACATAAAAGCAATGTATCATGCATAAATAGAAAGAATCGTTTTATGAGCTCTCCACGTTGAGACCAGACACTCAACTTTACTTGAATCGTTCTCAAATTGACGTATTTTCATAACATGCAAAGTTCTTGTATAGCCCTCAGGTCCACAGTACAATCTCTTCAGCCGACTAAATGAAGGTGAGAAGCTGCAATTGTTCAGTGCCCAACTAAGCCAAATTAATCTTGCCGCAATTTCTACAAAATGAACAACACCCACTCTCCGTTAACCCCATTGACTCGCTGTGCTTGTAGACTTGTTTTGGATACCATTGCAGGTCGAGTTTGAAGTGTAGGGACTGCAACAAAACACATTTGCCTTCCCAACATTCGAAATCTATTTGAAAACAAGTACTTGAGTCTTCCAAGCACAGGATGAAACTGGGTTACTGGCAGATGTAGCCAAAAGAATGAGACTAAATCTTCACATTCGTCACCGAGTGTTTATGATTTATGAACCATAAAAAAACCACGATTCATGTCAACACATGTTAGCAAATGATCTTTGTCCAATTTTTGGACAAAACTATGACAATCACCAATAGCGCAAATGGCCAATGAAACATTTTCATATGCTTCATTGGTCATTCGTCATGGTATTAATCTGACCCTTTAATACTTTCCACCGTAGGGTAAAACATGAAGTTTCCCTTCCCCTTGCAAACTTCAAAAGCTCATAAGGTCAATTGTGACAGTTTTTTCATAAACCTGACAGTTTTATTTGTTTTTAATGATGTGCTTGTCTCTCGCAAGAGTCCCCTATGGCAATGTTGTCAATTGACAGAAATCAACTGTTTGCAACGTGGTAACGATGTGTGTTGTATGCACGTACAGCCAAATTGTCAGTATTTGCATGTCCATGGTCAGATTGAGAAAACAAACGCTTCCTTGAGTTCATTTGCTAACCCCCCCCCCCCCCCCATAGTGCATTTGGATTCACTCAATATTGCATCGGAGTGCTGGGTTTTGTTTTGTTATCAGATAATTACTGGGAGATACAAACACATGACTATGTGCGTCAAAGGGTGGAGCAGTAGAAGCATAGAGCGTAAATGTGAAGCCCGGATCATACAATGAACATCAACCAACTTTTACAATGACATTTAACTCTGTAAAAATTCTACCAAAGTATTGCTTAGAAATGCATGTTTATTACCATCGACAATAACATTCCTCGTAAAATAAAAATCTAAACAAGATAACAAAAAAAATCCATTTATGAAATGCGAATACAGTACAAATTGCGTAGTGCAGTCACCCCACCCATAGCAGCCCGTCAACGGAAGAGTCGTAATTACACAGCAACAAACCGAACTCGATACGACACGAAATTCCCAACAGATCCCAACAGCAAATCTATCAACTACAGCAGGCATGGTCTCCTTTGAGCGTCGCGGACCCGTCTGCGTCCATCTTTCCAGAATGTGGTCCAGAGCTCAAGTCACCGGGCAGCAGGTCGAGGTAACTATGCACGTTTTGAGTGAATGGTTTTCAATCAACCACCGTAGCTGTCCAAAACGTACGCATTCCTATGCCGGAGGCCAGACACTGCTTAAGACAACCACCGTTGACTTTACAAGAATTAGTTCTCATTTTATTGACCGCGGAGAGATGATGAACCTAGTTGACTTGTGACGGGATTGGAATTGCAACCTTTCAATTGAGTGGTACTCACATTACAGTGCCACCTGGTCAGTTGGCATGATATTGGGTGTTTATAATCGATGATTCTACAGTTAGAATCTAAAGGTCCTCTTTGTTTAATAAAACCAGAAGTGGGTACAGACAATGTTGAAATGTTCATTAACAAAACATAGAATTGTAGGAAATGTATTCACGTGTTATTGATGTCAACACAACGGGTGCAATGCAAGCATCACATGTGTGTGTCTCTATCATCAGGTGGCAGTCCTTTCAGGGGCTTAACATTTGACAGATTGGTCTCTATTCGCGGTCAAACTATTTCAGACTTTCTTCCTGACCACCAACTGCTCATGGATTTACCTGAATTCCTGAACACAAAAAAAACTGTACATAAAAATACAATTACAAAAATGTATATACAAATATATTTTTGCAGGTATGTGCAATATGGATAGAAGACTGACATTGTGAATAAGTTGTTGTAATTACTTACATCCAGCTCAACTGAGTGCATAATACCCATGTGTGTCACTTATGACCCCACTTACAATGCAGCACAGACATAGGGGATTAATCCGATGAGCATGCTGTTCAGTGCAGAGGGGCATGCAGCCTCAAATTAATTCCCTGCTCACGACAAAATCTTATAAACCCCACTGAAATGTACAGGAAATTTAAGGCACACAGTACACCTGAACACCTTGCGTGACTTGTTTTGTAAGCGCCAAATACACATCACTCGAATTCTGCGGTGTGATGACCAATCTCTCTTTTTGTCTGAATTTTTATAACACCCCAAGACTTTCATTGAGTTTTAACATAGTTACATCTATTACCAATACTCCCCCCCGCCCGAGTAATGTAGCAGTCCATTGTCCCGACAGGTGCTGGGGAAGAAGTGGTCTGCACCACCTTGCTCTGCCGTCCGGGGGCTGTGCTGGTAGAAGCCCGGGATGCCCCCGATGGACAGGGCCAGGCTGTAGTCAGAGAAGGGTGCAGACGTGGCGGGGAACGGGTACTGGGCAAGTGCCGACAGCGGTGAGCTGGCATTGTGCCCACCCATCCGCCCGCACATCTCGTCCTCCATGTCCATGCCGTTGCCACTGCCACCACCACCTCCGCCGTCGCCACCACCACCACCAACGAAACTGGAGAAGCACGACTCCGTGGGGTCGGGCTCGGCCCAGGGCGGCGGCGACACCCCGAGCCCCGGCGACGGCAGCTCGCTGACGCCAACGCCGAGGGCGTGCGGAAGGTGCACCGCGCTTGGCACCGGCGGCGGTGCCACCATGCCTGGCGCTCCCAGCATGTCCGGCAGGGACGGCGCAGGGCCGATGCCGCCCAGCTGAGACGGCAAGGGTGGGGACATCTCGGAGCTCCCGTAGGCACAGGGTGCAGGGTCGTGGGGTTTGTCGCACGCCGATGACACCGCGGATGGCCCCGCGGAGTGCCGCGCGGGGGCGCCACTCTCCGCCCCCTTGCGCTTCCTCTTGCGGCGGAATGTGCCGTTGTCGAACATCTTCTCGCAGTTGGGGTCCAGGGTCCAGTAATTCCCCTTGCCTATAGATAACACATTGCAGCAGCGTTTTAATTGCAGCACACTTGCTACACATTACATTGTTCAAGTGATGTCAAAGCAGAGCTTTCAAGATATTTACACTGGGAAAACACTGCAATGACATTTAAAATGAAGTTAAGTGTCTGCATTGTCAAACAAAGCATCGGGCAGTGCTCATCTACCTGTGTGTATGGCCCTAACCCGTGAGTGGAAATTCCACATTCTTATGGCAGGCACCATTGTATTCGTCGGAAGACAAAGGCCAGAGAGAGAACGGGAGAGTCGACTGCTGACAAGCATAACATGAGTCCGAGAAACATTTAAATTCAGTAAATAAATGCAATTGGATTCCAACATGCCGTGGGAAACCAAAATGAAAAATAATTATCAATGTAAGGCAGACGGGATGCGGAGGATCTTTGGCAAATAGCCAAATGCCCAGGGGCTCTGAGTGGCAGTGATATTCAGCAACGAAACACGAACAGGGGCGGCCTAAGTGGTGTTTAAACATCCCCCACGTGGTGCCACAGGCATGTAGGTCAGGTCGGTCTGCTTACGTCATTACACATTCCTGATCCTCCCTCTCAGCACGAGTCACAGTCGCGTTAAACACTACAGTGCACACTCTCTTTGGAGTGAGCGTTTCACAGTTTTATTTTTCCACGACAATACCCCCTCCCCCCCCCCACGTGTATTTCCCTTGACCCCCTTTGACAAACACTCACGCACAAAGACCCCCCTCGTTGGCTTTGTAAACTGTTGAAGCGACTGATGTTACCTGCACTCACATACACGCATGCGCTGACAAAGACAAAGATCCCCCGTATAGCCTGTAACAGACTGTTGGGGAAAGTGCTGTTAACGAGCACATACGAAGACCGACACGGTATACGAGGGGGTGGGTGGCCAACACCACGCCCGACCGCCTTTGTCTCCCCAGTGGCGACGTTTACACACCGCACCAGGTACTAATTTGAGGCTGAGTCGACCTAGGGGAGGCCCAGGACCGGTTCAGATAATCGTCACTGGAATCAAACTCGGTTCGCCGGGTTCGTAGCGCAGCGCGCTGACCGCTCCACCACCGCTCCACCTGCACACGCTCTCGTTCATTCACACGCACTCTTCATTCATTCGCACTCATTCATTCATTCGCACGCACGAACAGACTGATGCAAACCCAGTGGCGGCGTGGCGAGCTCACTCGCCACCCCGCCACCCACACAAACCCACGTCGCTCCTCGCCTTGCGCACGCCACTTTTCACAAACGAGTGAAAGTTTGCGTGCGTGACAATTCGCATCCACAATCACAAACGCGCACTCCACTGCGGCCTCTCTCATTCTCTCTCACTGTATACTCACAATCCATATATCACAGCAGCGCACAAACACCGAGACGAACGCGTCTCACGCACTTTCCGAGACCCAAGCTCACCGTCGCACGCCGCCCATACGCACACACACAACCACGTGCGCACGCACGAACGCACTCGGACTAACGCTGCCACCCCATCCATCACTCGCCGTGGCGTGCACACCTGGGTCATCCTCGTCGCGCGGGACCTTGCGGAAGCAGTCGTTGAGCGACAGATTGTGCCGGATCGAGTTCTGCCAGCCCGCCTTGCTGCGTTCGTAGTACGGAAAGTTGTCGGTCACGTACTGGTAGATCTGATTGAGCGTCAGCTTGTGATCGGGCGCGCCCTGGATGGACATTGCGATGAGCGCCGAGTATGAGTAAGGAGGACGCGCCATGCGGGCCAGGCTCGCCTGCGACGCTCCGGGCATCGAGTGCCAGCTCATCCCCGCACCACCACCACCACCAGCCGCTACCACCACCGCATCCCCAGCCGTCATCATCATCGGTGCGTTGAGGCCGTGGGGTCCCACGGGCTGCTGCTGCTGGTGGTGGTGGTGCTGGAGTTGTTGGTGGTGGTGGTGACACGAGGAGTTTGACCCCGCCACGCCGTACGGAGGCGGGGGCACAGAAGGCGGTGGGCTGCCTCCCTGCGCCTCGGATGCGTTGGCACCTCCGTGCAGGAGCCAGGAGGCAGGGGGTGCGGACGAAGTCGTCGACGAGGTGGCAGCCGCTGCTGGGGTGAGCGGCGGAGAATCCCAGCCGGGGACTTGAGAAGCTCCCGCCGCTTGTGCAGTAGGCGCCAGTGACGGATAGGAGGCGAACGCGTTGTAGTACGCGGCCATACCTGCCGGGCAGGTGCGCGTGCGCGCACGTGCGCACGTGCGCGTGTGAGTGAGAGTAGGGAGGGGGAGACGGCACGCGCGTGTGTGGGTGCGCGCGCGTGTGAGCCGCGCCCGGGTGCGCAGAGGAGGGTGGAGAGAGAGACGAGAGAGATGCCCCCGTGGCACGCGCCCGGCGTGCGACAAATCACTCAGACTGCAGGCCAGGCGTCAGGGGCGGCGCAATAAATAGCTAGGGCCATCAACCCCCCTCCATCCCCTTCACCTGTCCGCCCGCCCACCAACAACTTTTGCCCCAACCCCCATCATCATTCTTCATCGCCGTCCCCCGAGGCACTCACGTGTGACCTGGACACTCGCTTGGTTCTGGGGCAACTGGTGGTGTGCGGCTGGGTTGGCTGAGCCACTCTCCTCCTCCTCCTCCGCCTGTTTCTGCTGAATGGGGTGAGGGCAGAGGAAACCACCGTGCCCCAGACCTGCATAACTACTTTCTGCCTGGTTGATCCGTCAGCACAGAGGCTGGGTAGCACTTGAGGTGGGAGAGCATTAGTGGAACCAGTTTATGTATACGGCCAATACTATTAATATCACTCTTAAAAGCATAACTTGCATAGAGTATTTATTTTATTTAGCTTTTAGACATGTCGGCTAAAATAAAACTTTTTCTACCTTGTGTGGAACCGACGGATGGAATGAATATCAGGTCCGATCCATAAATGAACCTGTGTGATTGAACACAGGTGGATTAATGAGTTACGCACACACATGTGTTGAATTACAACGTACAAACGCACATCTATGTACATCCGCCCATATACAATCCTCCTTCACTTCTATAATGCCATGCTTAGTAGCACCAACACACCTTTCAACTACACACCTGCCCCTACGCCTACATGACACTCCAACACCAACTCTATCCACCCAGCTATCTCCGACCTCCTCCCCCAACACCCCACTCCAACCCACCAACCCCCTCTCTCTCTTTGATTATCTCCACAAGAGCGAGTAAAAAAACATAAATTAAGGTGTCACTTTTCACTTCCAGCAGGCGAAATTGTTTTATGTATCTTTTCTACCTAAATCCAGTTCGGAGTAGCCGGGTTAGGTTATGATGAAGAATGTACAGATGTGTAAACCCAAAGGAATGTCCCACTGGCTGGTCTCAATGGCAGCTCTGGCAAGTCAACGCACAGCTTCTATGAAGACTATCAAGGACATTTACTTAACAATGTGATTATTCCACTGAGTCGCTGTAGTAACAAAAGGAAAACCGGTAAATTAGTATAGTATGGATAATTTATCATTACAGATTTAGTGCAAGCAATAATCAGTAGTTATACATTTTCCTTTCACTCTTATGAATGACTCGCTGGTCCTTAATATTACACTTTATAGCTGAGTTGAAGGGTGCTTTGGGATTTCCACCTCAACATCACGAGGCATCTGAGGGAAGTGAACCGTCTACTATGTATAAAGTGGCTCAGTTTAACACGTAGGCTTTCGCGACCAATATTGTCCACAAAATAGTCTTTTTTGGGGTTAGATCGCGTCAATATGAATGTGTCGTTAAACCCGCCACCACCCGACACAGCCAATTAGTAAGGTTTGTCACGTATACAGAACATGTCAATTCGTTACTAGTACAGCCAGGGCCAGATTCAGGCACGGGGCTGTAGGGGCTGCAGCCCAGGGTCCTTCTACAGCTGGAGGGACTCCGGAGATTGAAGTGAAAAGTGATTTCATTTGTGAATGCTGAATTCTATTTGTTGTTAGCCTTGTAAAAATAAGATGTATTTTTATTTATCTTTGTTTTCCTTTTGAAAATATTACTGGGGGCCTCATAGTACCTGCAGCACACGGGCCTTCAAAATCAGAGTATAGCACACCGGTGTGTTGGAGAGTAAACCCGCAATATTTACAATGACGTTTTTGCCAGTAATTACAACTAGCATCATCATGCGGCAGTCGGATTTGTGGAGAAATCATCCTGTTTCCGTCTTAAATAGAGGGATAAATGTGATAGCGTCACATTTACACACCGGTGTGCTGTACTAGTAACGAATTGGCATGTTTTGTTTACGTGACATATCTTATTAATTGGTTGTATCGGGTGGTGGCGGATTTAAAGTGGCTCAGTCAGACAGGATAGTGGCGACAAATATTAAGCCTTTAGATATAGGGCGAAATTTAAGGCTGAAAGCTGTTGATACTCTTTGGTTCTTTCGGTAAAGTCATGTAGGTAGAAAAATGACTCAAAGAGAATGGTACCCAGGAGCAATCGGCAATCCACACATCTTCACTTTTTTCTACCTACGTTACTTTACCGAGAGTATGGATTCCTGCAGTCACGAAAGCTTCAAATCAAGATTGAAAGCTATAGCCCACCAAATCGTGCTTCATTATAACCTAAACACAAAGAATTACTCAAAGAGAATAATGTGCCCTGAGCAATCGGCAGTCCACACATCTTCACTTTGAAGGGCGAGTTTAAAATCCAAGAATGACTCAAGAGAATTGCACCCAGGGGGGACTGATAACCTTGCTGTTCAAGTTAGCATTATTGCTACAAACTATTTGGCAGAGTTCCCCCTCCACGTGTTCCTGCGGGGCACGTGTTTAAAGAGACACCTGTGTGACACACCTATACAATGGCAAGCACTTGCTCCCAGGGCAAGGTGCGGCGCATGGCGGCTCAGAGACGCCACCTGCAGACCCCAGGTTACAATGGGGGCCCAAGCTTTGTGATGCAGACTACGGAGAATCAGGGCGGCTCTACCTGCACTCTGGAGGCAAGAGTGCAAAACAGGGTCAAGCCATATTCTATTTCACGGGCTGTCACCTGATTATACTGTGAAATGATGAATGCCTTCATTCACTAATTTATTAATTCACTCACTTTTAAAGCAATTTAAACGTTGTCACCTGTTAATGCACCATTATATTGTTCATATTCGTTTATCAATCCAAGTATTCGGTCATATATTCATTTACCAGCACTGTCACTCACGTTAATATCTTTACACAATCACGCGTCTATTCATTTTACCAAAGTACGTGCAGTCTTGGTCGATAGTCGGTAATATACACGTTGTATAGAAATGAGCTTTGGTTCACCATAAAAATTGACATTTAGGTTAATTCGCCTATGAGCCTCCTGGAATGTTTCCAGAATAATTACAGCAGCAAACTCTAAACTGGGTTTGACTCTCCGAGTTGCACTGACATAATTACATTTCTATACTGTAGCAATAATAGTTAGTCGTAAAGTATAGTGTGTATATATATTAGTCTACTGTATCAATACTATTTTGGTGGTCTTGCAGTCGTTATAATAGGAGAGTGAAACGTTATTGTGTAGTACTAGAGAGGTGGGGACCCTCGTTCAATGACGGCTACTGTTATATTATATGTCATACTTCATACTACATTATATACATACAAAACAGTTTTGCTGTTTGGAGGGAGGGATGGTTACGTTCAAAGGACGTGTGGGCTGCCCGTGCACTTTGAGAAAAGAAATGTGACGAATCTGAATTAAATGACCCTCCAATATGAGTTCAATGCAGTAAGTCCTCTACAATGGGGATGCATTCCTGGAAAACGCGACGTTAAGCGAAACAGCGTAAATCGAAACAGATTTTACAATTGACTTGATTATATAAATTTAGTATGCGTTCCGGGGGTAGTTTTTTTGGTAAAAACTTGCAGAAAAAGTTATAAATAAGTACCAAAATGATACGTAAAGGTATACCATCTAACAATTTTAAATCTACGCAACCCTATGATATATCATTTAATATCCGCGATAATCGTATCGTCAGTTTTTCGAAATATCGTTATCGTGATCATCTTTGGTGATTGGATTTTTTTACTTCAATTCGTGTATCCTGACAACGGTTATAAAACACTGTAATCACTAATTAAGGTTCTACATAAAATCTACCCTGTATAATCCATAGATTTAGTTATTTGTAAAACTTCATGGGAATTATGTGACGTCGGCGGCTTTAATTACATACCAGTCAACCCCTTATCAGTGCCCTACGTTATTACAGACCAAGTCAAACCTCACTGGTCACCCCGTGGCCCTTATACATCTCAACGTTCGCCCTACAAAATCCCATCACAAGGGAAAAACACAAACACATAGACTAAGAAAATGTCGATTTAAAGCTTTCGTGACTGCAGGGATTCATATTCTTGGTTCTTTCGGTAAAGTCACGTAGAAGGGAAGTAATACAATAATAAAAATATTGTTTTATACTTGAATATAAAGAAAATGTTGCCCTATTGAAACGGCTGTACGCCGCATGGACCTGAAAACTCAATTTCCCTGCACAGGAATACGGGCTAAACCGTACGGGTTGACAGCTATGTAATTATAAGCGACGTTTCGGGCAATGACCCTTCTTCAGAGCACATGACGGTCCGTTGCTCGAAATGCCGCCGATTATATTCTGTATGATCGGACATCTGTGAAAAAAAGCTGATCGGTTTCCTCCAGTACAGATACATATTCTGATGATTGTGTATTTTATCTTATTGACGAATGCGTTGATTATTTTTTTTTATACATCATACTGAAAATAACAGCCTTATATTGAGCGACCTATCGATGAAAGTCAATAACATCAATGGGTTCATGTAGTGAGTTAAAGCGATATCGCGATAATAGTCACGTGGTAACATTTCATATCGTGTCGCGAGAACAACATCGCGATAATCGTCACGTGGTAGCATTTAATATCGTGCTGCGAGAACAACATCGCGATACCGCGATAATCGTCACGTGGCAGCATTTAATATCGCGCACGTGACGGAGCCACGATCACGTGGTGCCCCTCTCACCCAATCGCCGCGCCGCATGGCGCGCGGCTAAACCCCGCCCAACTTAATCCGTTGCGATTTCAAATTTGCTACGCCCTGATTGGTCGGTCCGGTGAAAGCTCTTGATTCGCGCTACTCTGATTGGTTGAGAGAGCCGCACGCCGAGCCGCCTGATTGGCTTGGCGTGCAGCGCGCTGCTCTCCCATTGGCTGGCGAGCTGCAAGGGCGGAGTTTTGGTTTAAATGTCCCTTCGTTGTTCAAGTTGGTGGCAGCTGCAGCAGCAGTAGCCCGGTGCTGAGGCTCATGCCGGTGTGTGTGTGTCTGTCTGCTAGTCACCCTGTGTGTCTGTCTGTTAGTCACCCTGTGTGTCTGGTAGTCACCCTGTGTGTCTGTGTCTGTTAGTCACCCTGTCTGTCTGCTAGTCACCCTGTCTGTCTGCTAGTCACCCTGTCTGCCTGTCTACTAGTGACCCTGTGTGTCTGTGTCTGTTAGTCACCCTGTCTGTCTGCTAGTCACCCTGTCTGTCTGTCTGCTAGTCACCCTGTCTGTCTGTTAGTCACCCTGTCTGTCTGCTAGTCACCATGTCTGTCTGCTAGTCACCCTGTCTGCCTGTCTGCTAGTCACCCTGTCTGCCTGATAGTCACCCTGCCTGTCTGCTAGTCACCCTGTCTGTCTGTCTGATAGTCACCCTGTGTGTCTGTGTCTGTTAGTCACCCTGTCTGTCTGCTAGTCACCCTGTCTGTCTGTCTGCTAGTCACCCTGTCTGTCTGTTAGTCACCCTGTCTGTCTGCTAGTCACCATGTCTGTCTGCTAGTCACCCTGTCTGCCTGTCTGCTAGTCACCCTGTCTGCCTGATAGTCACCCTGCCTGTCTGCTAGTCACCCTGTCTGTCTGTCTGATAGTCACCCTGTGTGTCTGCTAGTCACCCTGTCTGTCTGCCTGTTAGTCACCCTGTCTGTCTGCTAGTCACCCTGTGTGTCTGTCTGTTAGTCACCCTGTGTGTCTGCTAGTCACCCTGTCGGTCTGCCTGTTAGTCACCCTGCCTGTCTGTGTGTCTGCTCGTCACCATGTCTGACTGATAGTCACCCTGTCTGTCTGCTAGTCACCCTGTCTGTGTGTCTGCTCGTCACCATGTCTGACTGATAGTCACCCTGTTTGTCTGCTAGTCACCCTGTGTGTCTTGTCTGCTAGTCACCCTGTGTGTCTGCTCGTCACCATGCCTGACTGATAGTTACCCTCTTTGTCTGCTACTCATCGAGCCTGCCTGTTTCCCAACCACTCTGATACCCAGTGACTGCTGCCTGCCTCACATCCAATCAGCCAGCCAGCCAGTCTCTCCGCCTGCATGACACACGACCTGTCAGCCACCAGTCGCTGCGCTGTCTCCCACGTGGCTTCTGCTGTCGCAGCCGGGAGAGCCGCATGCAGAGTGGAGGTGAGTCCCATCACTAGATTAGGCACTGCGCATACCGCACACAATGATGTGCAGTACGTACAATACACGGCATACCCAACATACACACGTGTGTACTCGTAAAGTACATGATTGTGCTGAGAGTAATATTATAAACGTGCATATTCGCGTGGCGTGGGCGTCCACGTTGCACCTGCAAAGTGTGAAATGCAATTGCGTGGTGATCATCATCATCATCCTCAACTCTAGCGTTCCTGCGATGTAAAATCCACCTCGCTCCTCGCCCACGAGATGAGTTCAGTGCTCCATCTTCTCGTTATACAACAATCAACAATCTCATTGAAGTAGCACATGCATCCATTGGCTTGCCGGCCCCGTTATCATTCTGGACCGTCGTAAACCCATCCCATCTAGTGACAACGACGTGCACAGGAGTCTGTAACCCCAAACATGCACGTCCACGATTCCTTGGGCGGCGGGTTTTAGGGTTTTCAGTGACATGTATCAATGGCCCTGCGTCTGATCCATACGGCATTGCAAGTAAGTTACCGTGATTAAAATATCTGCTTCTTTTAAGTACATTGGTATGCTACTTGTCATTTTCCAGTTTTACAAAAGAACCCCAACCTGCTCTCGTCCGCCTATTTTTTTACATAATTTCCATCCCTGTCTGCCTTCAATAACTGACCTAGGTACTTCATGTACATATCCTTATTTACTTTCCAATTATGCCCCTCTGACATATATTTTAAACTGGTTTGCGAGCTCTCTGTACGTGACCGTTGTTTTTGCTCAATTATCATGAGCCCATCTATGCAGTCTTCTTTATTATGTTTTTTTTTACCACAGAGTTTACATGTAGTTAAATTCCATCTGTTGTGATGACCGTCATCAGCAAATCTAAGACTGAGCATATTTTTTGCATTCATTGTCATATTCCTTTTTCGGAAATGTCACTTTGAATAACCCATGGCAGACGCATGGCTCCGAGTCTAACTTCTTCTTTCGAATCCTGTATATGATTGTTCTTTCTTTATGCAATAGCTGTGCCACCATTCCATTTTAGTAAATAATTGTTTTTATTTATTACTAATGTGTTTTATTTAGGCCTGGTTTGTGTGAGAGCTCGTGGATTTCGGGGGGGGGGGGGGGGGGGGGCTTTATCCAGCAGTGGATATATCATGTCTGATGAGTTGTGTCCTGTGTGTATTAATGATATATCTTACACAATTCATACGTACAAAGTGTACTCTTACTGCCAGTGTATGTTCCTTATGTGACGTATTGCAACGTGCGAATTGCAGGTGCAGCGTTGAAATCTATTTGCCACGAGCAAGTGCCGCTTCAACTGCTATGCACCCCACCCCCCTTGCGCCATCTCCCCTGCCCAGCTCCTTCAAGGAGGCATGGATGAGCCCGAGGCTCAGATCTGCTGCTCCTTGGTCATCGAACAGCTTGACAAGTCCGGCCAGTCGGTCCGACGCAAGGCAGTGCGCGACGCGACCCTCATGCTGGGGAGGAGTGAAGTGCGGGAGCTGCAGCTGCAGGTGATGTGGGTTGTGGTACTGAGGTGGCCAGAGCCACGTTAATAAATGGTTGGGTTGGGGGGGGGGGGTGTGCTCCGTGAATACGGCATAATCTGGTTACCCTTCTTCCTGAAGCGTTTTGGACTCTTGACAGGTGCACGTGTATACGTCGTACACTCGTGAAGACTGCATGGCAGGTAGCCTTTGGCAAGGATTGAGTTGTGTAGGGTGGATATATGAGATGGTGTGCTCTTGACAAAAATGTCTGGTCGCCCAGCAGTATATGGTTTAGCAAGCCAGATTGCTATTGAAGCCCAAAAGGTTGAAATCAATTCAGAATTTGTTTCCTTAAACAATTTTCGCCAGATAATATTGATCTGGAAAGCCAATAGGCCGATGTATCACTTTTTTATGTGGAGGCACAGGGATCTTTTGCTTTCACTTCATTGAGTATAGCTTGACTGGAGATGGAATTGTAGACAGGACACCCACTGTATTGTGTGTGGGATTGTTTTTTACTAATTTTCAGAGGGGGGCCACTCTCGCTGATAAGACATCAGTGTGAGCGCCGCCACACATTTGAAACCATTGTGTTTGACAGCGCGATGGGGTGTTTTCACATTTGAGTATTGTTGGGGGCTGCACGTCAGGGGCCGCACTAAAGGCCACCATAGGCCACCAGTGGCCACGTGAGCCTTGCAATCAAGGACTCTGGTGTGTGGGCACACAGGTGCTGTGCCCTGGTCGGAGCGCGGAGCGGTTCTGGCTGCGTGACGCTGTGGTGCACTCACGCTTCGTGCGCGAAGGCAAGGGCGGCCTGCGGCTGCCCCATCACAGCACGCAGCTGCTTCTCTCAAACTGCCCCCCCGACCGCCTCAAGGCGTTCCTGCGCACGATTGCCGGCAAGACCATGGCGGAGAGGTACGCACATATCCAGCACTCCGAGGCAGTTCCGTGATGTGGGATCTAAGTTGCTTAAAGCTCTCTCACCGCTGTCAGGCAGCAGGATTGGCAGGACTCTTGGGGGATATAGGAGTCGTACTGCCTGGGAGAGGTTGTACGGGGTAATTGGTTCGACTAGATAAGCAACATGTGCACCCCACTATTAATGGTACTCACGAACAATAAAGAAGTGAATGAATGCACCGTCACCTGATTAGAGCATGTTGGTATGAACTGCACATAGAAAAATGCATATTTGATAAACGATAATCTTAGAATATCAATTTTTTTTCTAAATTAGAATGGCGTCTACATGTGCCCAATGAGATGAAACAAAACTACGTTAAATTATTACTTTATTTTACAAACAAAATGTACGTTGCAAAAGTTAACTATATTTTTCGTGTGTTTTTAAAATGTATAATTTTTACCATTGCATTCATCCTTTTTACCATTGCATTTTTTCATTGCATTCATTTTATTAAAATATCTTTATAAATAAAATGAAAGCATTCACGCAATGCCTGAACTCTCCTTTCCGCCACTAACTCTACGGACTCCTGTGCCCTTCTCCATCCACCCAGTGGAGTATCCAGCGTTGGCACCGACCGCAAGCGACTCCTGTCAGAAGCACCCCGCTCCTTCGTCACCGTAAGCCCCCTGTCGGCACGCGACCTGCAGGCGGCCCGCGAGAAGGCACGGCTTGCGCAAGCGGGCGGCGGCGGCAGCTCGGGGGGCGGCGGCGGCGGAGGAGCCCCGCTTGGGACGAGGCAGCCCCTGGCCGCCCGTCCGGACGGGAACGTTGGGCGAGGAGTTGCCGGGACGGCGAGCAAGAGAGCACGCAGCCCCCACGGGCACGTCGAGTCGGTAAGGAGGAGGAGAGGAATTGTTACGATTGTTTTTTTAATGAATCGACGTTAGCTGTGGTGTACAGGCGCACGTAAACAAAAAGCTTCCATCCCCTTTCGTCTTATTGTGGTGTTCTTCACGGAGGCGCACACTTGATTTGGAGACAAAACGTTTATTACACAGCCCTAACAGGGCTAACTACATAAATGTACACGTCGTGAGAATTGTTTTATTATGTTTTATTTTTATTATTTTATTACTTCCCTTCTACGTGACTTTACCGAAAGAACCAAGAAGAGAAATGTACACGTGCTAACTAGACCCAAACAGGGTAATTATACAGTGATACCTCGGTTCACGAACGCTTCTGTTCACGAACAACTCGGTTCACGAACAGAAAAGTTCATAAAAATATGCTCCGGTTCACGAACTCCGCTTCGGTTCACGAACAGGAGCCGCGGCCATTTTAATGCTATTTCCAGGCTGTCACACGGTCGTGACTTCCTGTAGGAAGATCGTGGAGAGAATAAGAGACACAGAAAGAAGTACTGTGAGTACTGTGAAGACACTTTCAGTGACTTTTTGCTTTTTGGTGTGCTTTTTAGCACATACAGTACTGTACTACTGTACTGTACAATACTGTACTTACTGTATTGTACAGTTCACCCGTTTCAGTGCTTACTGAAGTCATCTCAAGCAAGGTTAGTGTTCTCTCTTTATACATTACTATACTGTACAGTACTAATGTGTATTGTAATTTGTTTCATGTTTTTGTGCTTCAAAAACCAAAAAAAAAGGTCAGAACGGATTAACCGGATTTACATTGAACCCTATGGGAAAATGTGCCTCGGTTCACGACCAATTCGGTTCGCGACCAGAGTCAGTTCACGAATTAAGTTCGTGAACCGAGGTATCACTGTATAACCGGTTCAGTCAGTAACATCCTGACTGACCCAGGATGCCGAGCGGAGACCGAAGATCGGAGAGACGTAGCGCCGAGGGTTGATTCCAGAGAACAGCCCGGATCGGGGCTCGGCACTCGGCCTTTATGGGCCGCGGCGTGGCCAGGCACCGCCCTTGGCCACGCCCCTTTCTAGATCCTTCCTGAAGACTCTGGCCCCTACATCACGTGTCCCTCTCCCCTCCTTTTGGGCCCCCCTTGCCACCTTGTCTGGTCACGTGCCCTCTCGGGGTCACCCAGACTGTCATGTCCTCACTCGACCTCTCTCTCACCGTCACCAGGACTATGCCCCCTCGGGCCTGCTTCCATGGCATGCCCACTCTGGTGCCCGAGAGAGGCCCAAGACACACAGCTCCACTCCTGTGACAGTCGCTGGTGCTAACGCCATAGTGACTCCATTTACATCACTACATTATAACAGAAATAATAATGAAAGACTTTACCCTTTCCGGAAATAATACAGGAGTGTGTTAAGATGTTCAAACACTAAACAGATACCCATTGCAAAGACATTCAGTCTGCATTAACTACACGTGCTTGTGGTAAAACATGCAAACAACATGCGTTGAAACTGATAATCCTTCTTTATGGCCTTGTCTCAGTATGTTAGACCAGAGAATACCAAAAGGCAAACAGTACAAAGAGATATGAAACAGAAATATATATTGTAATGAGGTAGTATTTCAAATCATGACCATTCTTCAGACCAGAGAGCACAGAGCATGAGTTATTCAATAATTATAGCTGCAATTTACAGTGTAGTGCCTCGCAAACAGAGGGGGGAAAATATGACTTCCAGTTTTCAATTGATTTATAAATAGTTGATATAGTGATTATAATAACCAATCAAAATTTAATTCAGGAATTAGTGAATTGACCACTGAGGAATGGTGGTCCGAGTCAACGTCCAACTATGGCTTGAATTTCGAACCTTCTGATTGATAGCTGAGCACACCCACAACTAAATCGATTAAAATTAACAGCTCTCAATGCATAAATGCATCAATTCCTGGTCCATATGATGGGATGTGTAAAAGAACATTATCACTGTTACATTAGTTCATCGCATACGTGTTTACAGTGGGTCAAGCACAGAGTCATAGGCTTTAAAATAAATATGGGAGATAGCGCATTTTCTTTGACCTTGGGTGTGAACAATGTACGGGTGTAATACTGGTGGTGTCCAGAGCTAAGGTTGGATAAATGGCAAGCTCGCAGAAAATGCAGGTGTGTAAAAATGAATGTCAAGATTTCTCACGGGAGTGACCATTATCGGTGTGCACCTTGTGTGATGTAACGATGTCTTGTTTTTATTTTATTTCCAGACCCCCAAGAAACCTCTGAGAGACTGCAGCATCGCGGGAGCGTCAGATAACCTGCCAGACCTGCTCAGGGTGGCACGCGTAGGACGTGGTGGTTCGGTGAGCCTCTCGCAAGAGCAGAGGGCCGTGCTGGAAGCAGTCCTGGCCAGGAAGAACATCTTCTTCACAGGGAGCGCCGGTAACAACGCCGCACTAATACTACACGTATACACAAAGATATGAAGTGTGGAAAGTGCACCGTGTCTTTTGCACTGCAGTGTGTGGTTGGTCTTCATTGTGTGGCACGATCCAACACCATTCCACACCAAGGAATGCCACACTGTTTCACAATACCAAGCCACTGGGTGCTGCACTGCATGTATGTATGTTGAAATTCAAAAACATCGCACGTAGCCAACCGTGTTAATCGGAGGTGCTGATCATGCATCATGCAAACCACTTTTTGCCAGGCCATAGCAAACAAAATTTTACATTGTTACATTTTCATAGTGTTATTTTTAATGTAAGTACAATTACTTATAAGAGCTATATATTATTCCTAAGAATTCAGCTATCCCTGATTAAGTGACACATTCAATACTTCTATTTTTCCCATATAATAATTGGTGGTGAAACCAGGCATTCGCTAGACTCGAGAACCTGGTTTGGTCATGTGAGGCTGCCCCAGTTTTAAACCCAGCAATGCATGTGCATTACTCTTGATACCTATTGATAGCATGAGGCACAGAAGACTGCTGGAGCATGAAGGTGGAGGACAAGCTACTTAGATGGGCATTGGAGTGGTTGGATACCAAGGATTACAGCGAGGCAATGGTGTCTACAATGTAGGAACAAAGGGGAAGGAGCGATCTTGAGCCTTCCACAGGTTGTGCGAGTCGCGTGTCTAATCGCGTGTCTATGTGCATGTGTCAGGCACTGGAAAGTCGTTTCTACTGCGTCGGATCATGGGGACCCTGCCGCCTCTCAGTACCATCGCCACCGCGAGCACCGGTGTGGCTGCCTGTCACATCGGAGGCATGACATTGCACGCCTTTGCCGGTGAGAGCCATTGACCGTGTGAGTGCATATTGTCATAGACGGCACGATCCTACGATGGAATAATCCACCAAGCAACTGCACACGAGCTGATTTAGCACGCCATCTCATCTCTTTTTTTCCTTACTGGCTGTGAGCCATAACCGAGTCATAACGAGCCAGAACCGGTAGTTTCACATCAGATAAAGTGTCCTCGCGAGACATCTCAATCTGGCTCGGGGCCAAGCAGAGCCAGGGGCGGGGCTAATTACGCATTCATTGTGACACAAGTCAGTCCACTATCAGGACAGGGTCATCTACTCGTGTCACGACTAATTGCGTGTGATGATGTCAGCGGCTCGGCTTCTGCAGTTGGAAAAACAACCTGGCACCTCCTGAGCTGTGCCAGGCAGGTGGTTCTCGGTTGTACCGTGGAAATGAGGTATCTGTCTGCCTAGGCATGGGCTCGGGAGTGGGGCCACTGGAGCAGTGCGTGACCATGGCCAGGCGACCGGGCGTGCTGCAGCGCTGGCGATCGTGCCACACCCTCATCATCGACGAGGTGTCCATGGTGTCCGCGGACTTCTTCGACAAGATGGAGGCGGTGGCGCGGTAGGGCGTGCGCGCGACTCGAGTGGGACACGCTTACGTGAGGCGCACACGCGCGGGCAGTCGCCAGTGCGCCAAGGGGTGAACTACGAAGGGGCAGATGAGCGTGTGCGTGTTTGCACGGGGAGCAGTGGTGTTGTGCACTCGGTGACCCGAGTTCGATTCCTTGGTCGTAGATAACGTCAGTGGCGAGTGTTATCTGAACCGATTCTGGGCCAGCCTGAAGCTGATCCAACCTTAAACGAGTTAATGCTTCCCCAGTGCTGATGTTCGCACACCGGAAGCGGATCGGCATGGTGCAGTCCACACTTTTTTTGCGTGAATAGATGCTTGCTTAACTGCTCTTGGACAGTCTATGTGACTATTCAGGTGTTCTCTATTGTTGTGCTATCCATGCAGATTATATGCATGGCGAATGCATTGTGTAAATGATGTATACATAGTCCACGTTGTGTGTAGTGTTTATATGGTGTGTAATGTGTACATGATGTATAATACATGGTGGTGTGCAATTTTTGTGGTGTACATGGTTTATGTATGGTGTTTAAATGGTGTCTGTGTGTGGTGTATACATGGTTTTATGTGTACATGGTGTGTGATGTAAGCATGGTGTGATATGCGTGCATGGTGTTTGTGGTGTGTAACAAGCTGCACGTGTGGTGTGTAATGCTCTCTGCATGACACACGGTGTGTGGTGTGTGTGGCGGCGGTGTCAGGGCGGTGCGAGGTCGTGACGAGCCGTTTGGAGGGATACAGCTGGTGCTGAGCGGAGACTTCCTGCAGTTGCCGCCTGTATCACGAGACCGCACTGTCAAGCGCACCTTCAGTTTTCAGGTGTGTGTACGCACGTACCAGTGTGCTCATGTACGTGTGCAAATACCTCTGTGTGTGTGTGGGAAGTGGTGTAGTAGTTGGCACGCCTCCAATTAGCACAGTTGGTGACGTATGGTGCGAAAGAAGTTCAACATACATTATCGGTTTTATTCCTGACCTCAATCGCCAAGTGGCAGCCGGTAATTAAGTCACACAGGGGCCGTTCGCTGATACAATGCGATGCAATCCTACATGAAAGGACATTTCTCACTTTCTTGACAATGGTGGAACATTTTTAATATAAATTTAGAGCTGGCGATTCCTGCAAGAATGTATTCCATCATTAACATTTATTGAACAACTCGTGTAGTGAATGCAATACCAAACACTGTAGGTCCGTTCGTGCTTGCATACGTGCAGGCCAAAAGCTGGCGGCGGTGCGTGCATCTGGCGATGGAGCTGACCCAGGTGCGTCGTCAAAAGGACCAGGCTTTCATTCGGGTGCTGCAGATGGTGCGGACTGGCAGGTGGGGCTCGCACAGTGTGGCAAGCGCAGCACGCCACTCCACTGCTCACCGCACCGCTACGCACCGCTACACGCACTGCTACATGCACGTGCAGCGCCTCGTACGCGCGTGTGGTCGTTCAGGTGCACGGACGAGGTCACGAGGTGCCTCGTTGCCACGAAAAACAACGCGATCGAGAAGGACGGGATCCTGGCGACGAGGTTGTGCACTCATCGCGACGATGTGCAGCTCATCAATACTTGTCAGCTGGCCAAGTTGCCCGGTACGATTGTGAATGCTTTTGAGGGTACGAGTTGGGGGGGGCGGGGGGGTACGGAGCCGCGGTGCACTGATCCATGCACTGAGCCACAAACCCAATGGCCGAGGTTGGCTGGAGCGGTGGCGCAGTGGTTAGCACACTGCGTGACGAACCTGTCCAGCAGAGTTTAATTCCCAGCCAGGTCGAACATCAGTGGATTATTTCTAAACTTGTCCTGGGTCTTTCCCCAAGGTCGACTCAGCCTTAAATGAGTACCTGGTGCAGTGTAAACATCAGCACTGGCGAGACAGACAAGGTGGCCGGGTGTGATACTGGCCTCACCTACCATCTCGTGTGCCATGCCGGCCTTAATAGGTACTCGCTAGCAGCACCTGCCCCATCAGTCTATCAAAGGCTACACGGGTGAGCTTTGTCTTTGTGTGGGATGGGGAGCAGCGGCACAGTAGTTGGAGCACTCTACCACAGACCCCTGGGTTTGTGTTCACTTCCATCAGTAGCGGAGGCTCAAATTCCTGATTGCGTCAGAGGTGACTGGCGGTGATTGTTGCCACGTGGTTCTGTTTGTCTCAGGTGAGACGCGCATGTTTGATGCACTGGACAGCGACCCCAGTCAGGCAAAAGCCCTGGATGCCATGTGTCCTGTCGAAGCCTCCCTGCAGCTGCGCAAGGGTGCACAGGTGAGGGCCTGCGTTGTAAAGAGACTCTGAGGTGCACCGACACGGTGTGCTACTGTGGTTGCTCGTCTATGGAAGTGTGCGTGTCATTGTATATCCAGTTGTGTGGATGTGACGTTGTGTAACGTTGTGTGAAGGTGGATACGCTTGTATGTCTGCGATTGGGTTGTTGTGTGACAGTGTGCCGTGCTGACATCGCGAGGTCGTGTTTAGTTGTGTGCGTGTCCACGTGTGACGCGAGTGCCACTGCACCCGCAGGTGATGCTGACAAAGAACCTGGACGTGCAGAGGGGTCTGGTGAACGGCGCACGTGGGGTTGTCACGGACTTCAGCACCGAGAAATGCGGTGCGCGCACCCATACAGTCGCATGCTCATGCATTCATACACATCCCGCACCTTCGATTAGCACAGCTGACTACGTAGGGCGTGAAAGAAGTTCAACATACATCTACATATCTAAATTAGTTAAAGCTTTCATTCACGGGCCTTGTGTAGCCACACCCACTCTGAATTCCTCGCCCCCTGGAAAATAGACGCTGCTAAGTGCATCGTTGAAGCTCATCTGTAGCCTTTTCTTCCCCATCCTCCTCTTTTGTGTCCCTTTATCGCGTTGTTCCATTCCTTTCCCACTTCTCTTTTCTCTTCCTTTCCTCTGCCCTATTATTTTCCATACGTTATATCCTTGACTATACTCCCCTTCCTGTGGTGTGCCACCAGTAAAATGTTTTATCCGTATCCACCCATGCAGACATACACACTTACACTCACAGGTATGCAATGTCTGCATATGCAATGTGTTTGTCTTCGTTTGTCTGTGTGGTGTGTTTGTGCGTCTGTACCAGTGCATTGTTGTGTATTTGTACGTGCGAGTTTGTGTACGTACGTGTATATGTGTGTGTGTACACTTTAAGTGCACATAGCCTGGCACAAGCGCCGTGGTGACGTCACCGCCACTTAGTGTCGAATGGCGGTTGTTGTGCGTGCCTGTTTGTATGTGGGGTGTTTTGTGGCGTGCAGGCCTGCCACTGGTGCGGTTCGCATGTGGCGTGGTGCAGGCGGTGCAAGCGGAGCGCTGGGTGGTGCGTGCCGGGGGAGGAAACGTGGTCACCCGCAAGCAGCTGCCTCTGCGTCTGGCCTGGGCCATCTCTATTCACAAGAGCCAGGCGAGCAGACACGCACGGAGATACAGACACGGACATGCAGACACAGAGACAGATGCAGACATGCAGACACGCACGGAGATGTACATGGAGACATGCAGAGAAACATGCGGATACAGTGACATGCAGACATGCAAAAAGACAGAAACATGTTGAGATTTACGAAACGCACACAAAGACAAAGGAACTTATACATAAACACACCGATAAAACATGTCCATTTGCATCTCAGTGACAATGGTGGCCAAGAGTGAGTGGTGCTGGGCACACCTCCCCTTGTGCCGGCATTAGAATGTTATCCGACAGCACTTTTCCCTGTTGTTTACGAGGTGTGGTGGATCTTGTCCTCAGGGCATGTCTCTGGACTGCGTGGAGGTGTGCCTGGGTCGCGTGTTCGAGTGCGGTCAGGCGTACGTGGCGCTGTCGCGCGCCCGCTCGCTCCAGGGCTTGAGGGTCGTGGACTTTGACCCCTGCGTGGTGCGGGCCGACCCGGACGTGCTGCGTTTCTACGCCGCGCTGCGGCGGGAGGCGCCACTCACGCAGGTGGGTATGTGCCCTGTGCACCCGGGTGCCTTTGTGGATAGGCACACAAGGCAATTAGCCAGAGTCAGAGGGTGCGCACATCTGGCAACTGACCAGACTTAGGGTGGAAAGATGTACGAGAACTTTGTTCTGCGTCTCCACCTGTAGATACGACAAATAATGTAAGTGCAAACCAATATTATCCAGAATCGTATGTTTAAGCAAGCAAACTCTGGACCAGTCTTGACATTATGGGTCTTATCAGCAGACGCGGACTTGTTAAATTACTGTTATTTGCAAGATCACTCCACAGACTGAGGGAGGGATGGTCGTTCGGATTAAAAGGATATGTGCGGCTAGTATAAGTGTATAAATATGATATACTATAGTTTGAATTTATGAGGCATCTGTTACATGAAGGTCATAAGGGTGTGCACATTATGGTAAAAAATATGGTCAAAACACAACCCGTACCAGCCACTGTGCATTGGAAGTGATTAAATCACACATACTCTGAAGCAACATCATAAACAAACACAATTCAACACTTACACGGATTTTTTTCTCAACCAAGTAATTAAAAACTCTTAGTAATATAAAGTCTGCCTCCCCCGCAGGGTTCCCTCAACAACTGGCTGCAGAGAGAAGATTCTGAGAACGGCTAACGGCGGCACGGTGCTGATGTGCTGGTGCTGATGTGCTGGTGTGCCTTTGATTTACTGCGCACACTGGTCATACCCACCATATCCATTTACCAACACTCCAGCAAAGCTCAGTGCTTCTGGCATAACTCAACTTGGCCTGGGTCTGATAATTGCAAACTTACGGGACTCCTGATGAATTGTTAAAATTCTGCAGCAAAAGCGAAGGCTTTTTTAATATATATAAAATGCACTAAGTGTTTGAGATGCCGGTGCAGACAGGCAATTACTGTAATCAACTGTTACGCTTAATTACGAGTGATGCATTTCTGTTTTAACTCGAGGATGTGTTCTCTTGGAAGACTGTATTTTATACATATACCATTGGAATCTGCACGGATAGTGCTGTTGTCAGAGTACTTCACCATCAAACAGAAGAGTTGAAATCCCAGTCAAGGGTCAAATCAAGACTCATTTTTATATAAAATCAGCGTCTTCCTGCTAAAATGAGTGTCGGGTGGTCTTGTTGGCGGCTCTAAGTGCACGGTGGAAATTCTACATTCCAGTGATGTGGTTGGTTTATCGATAGATAACTGTTAACTTCCCACAGATCACTGTTAAAATTCCTACGAAATTAATGTTTTATAGCCCTGGAAGAAATGTGCCGAGTCAAATCACAGTTAGAATTTTAACCCTCAACCTTCTGATTGAGTTGAGAACTCTAATGACAGCTAAAACCCGTCGTTAACGATCTACGTCTGGTGGCTGGGTGTGCGAAGTGCGGGGCACACCTCCCCTGCCATCTCAGTTCTTGGTCACCTGTCTCTTGCAAACAAGTTAGAGAACTGTAACATATGCAGTGCAAAACACCTAAGTTAAGTATTGACCGTCTTCGGCAAGAAGGATGTAATCTTGTCACTTAGTAAGCGAGGTGGGGCGGTGTTGATAAATCAGGAAAAATGTTGTGGAACGCAGAAACTGCTTGTATTTCTGCCAGCCAGGAGCAAAGGCGGTTTGCACATGACATCTGCGTCCATCTGTTTACATGAGTTTACGTGCGACGACAGCTCTTGAACGATGAGCTGAAACTGACGGACAAATAGAGGACTCGGTTTGTGTTGTCTGAGATCGTTTTGAAGTTGAAGAGGTTTACAAGACGGCTCGTTATTTAATTTGTAGACAAGTTGTGAGATGAACCGTCCAGAACGAGCCATCCTACTTGTCTGTACGTGAATGAAGTGTTTCCTGAAAACCTTTCGTCTACCTCAGATTGCAGCAGCGTACTTGCCTGTATGGCCAGGTTATCACCACAAAGTGACCATTTACTTTGTTGGGCAGTCTGATCAGCTTTTATGCATTTTTTAAAACAAATTAGCAATTATGTACAGGCACTTTTAGTTTGTAAAATTTTATAATAAAGATGAAGAAGTTATACCTTGTGTGTGCAGATGCAAAAAGGTATATTAAAAGTATTGAACTGTTTTGCGACATTTATTGTTCAAAATACATCTCACAAAAAGCATCACATTTCAATCGCTTAATCACATGTTCGACAAGGTCACATCAAAACTGTACACTTTGACGCCAGTCATGGGTTATCCAGTGGTTTGTACACAGTCATGTGTTTCGCATGTGCACTGGGCCGTGACGTACAGTGTTAGGTCATTGGTGGGGTCATTAGGGTCACGTTAACTTTGGTTCTTGTGAGGCTGAGTTGGACGCAGTTGTGTGTGCGAGTGGATGCGTGCATTTTTCTCCACGTGTGAATGTGTCGGTTTGTGTGTCCCGGTGTAAGTGTGTCTTGGTGTCTGTGCGTGTGCATTCAGCGCTGTACTGTTAGCAGCTGCGTATTTCCAGACTCGGTCAGCAGCTGCACCAGGCTCCCCGACGCAGGCCGCCCCTCCCCACCAGCCCACTTCAGCAGTGTCCTGCACACAAACAGACAGATCCCACCCCCCATTTGGCCTTACAAACTGCATGGATGAGTGATTCTAGCAAGTGCTACGTGCTTTCCCGTACATCCGATTAGCACGGTTGGCTACATATGGTGCAAAATAAATTTAAAAACATACAAAAACACATCCCTAAGGGGGCATTTACGTGTTGTTTGATATTAAAAAAATATTGTCACGTTTATAATGTTTGTTTACCCAGAAATGTATAAGAGTCTAGTTTTCGTGGGTCGTGCAACGGGGCTATGTTCAATGTCCCTTTTAAGCTAAGAGTTTAGTTTGAGGAGACAACACTCCACAGTCAGAACAAAGTTTCACGCCACCCAACTTTCTGTATTTTCCATCTCCCGGCCACCTTCCAGAACCACTTGTTTAAGAGGCTCGCAAATTCCCCATGATCCACCAACCTTTGCCAACAAAATACTGGAAAAGGCATCTGCCATCCACACCCAGTTGCAAATTATACATGTATGTATGGGACATTATTTAGAAAATGTAACAATGTATTTGATATATTACAGAATGAACGAAGTATATGTTGCATTCAGTCAAAAGTGGCTTATTAAACAAATATTTTTCATACCACGGTGTAAAGTCCAAATGTATAAAATGTTACTAAAAGGTAAGGCATTCACTGAAATGGGACTCTTGTCAAATTGTGCTCGATTGGCCCTCAACCCAAGGACTGCCCCCAACAGTTGGGCTCAATGGGTTTCATACTCCACACGCCACAGGCGACCCCCGCAAACACCACGGTCAGTCACACAGCCCCAGCGAGCACCCCGCTGCACCCCCCAGCCCAGGGGCTTCCCCTGGCACCCGAGCCATGCCACTCACTCGGCCACGAAGCCCAGCGGGGTCCACGTGCCCGTGTCGGCGTTGGGCATGGACTTCCTGTTCATCGGCGTGTCCAGGGTAACCCTGCGATCGGGACGGGAGGGGTTGCACACACACACACACGGCACTCTTAGAATGTCGTCGCCACCACTGAACACGCGCACTCCCTTGGGTCTGATTCTCAGCGTCGCCTTGTCTGCACAAGCGTGTCTTGTGTACATGCTGCGAGTGGTGTCCGTGTGCAAGGGTGCACATAGAAACGTGCGTTTAGGCTATGTCTGTGCACGTGTGTCTATGTATGTGTGCATGTGTATGTATTTCGTGTGTCCGCATGCAGGGGCTTGTGTGTGCGTGAGTGCGTGCGAGTTTCTGGGTGCCACATCTGTATGTGTGTGCGTGTTTGTCCACATGCATAAATGTCTGCGGCATATGAGCACTTTTGTTTACTCGAATGTCTATCTATGTCTGTGTGTGCATGCTTGAGAGTGTGGCCGCACGTATTTGTATGTCATGCATGGATTCATGTGTATGCGTGCGTGCGCGTGTGTGCGTGCGTGCGCGCGCGTGTGCATGTTTATGCGTACGGGAGTATGGCCAGCACGGAGGCCCCGGTAGGAAGGCCGCTTCCGTCGGCCGCCAGGCTGGTGGTCAACTGATGTACGGCCGCCTTTGCCAGCCCGTAGCCCATCATACCTGTACGTACAGCACACACGGACAATATATTATACACGCAATGCACCAAGTGTACACATGCACACAAAAACAAAAATATACAAATGTATCCTTCACACACTCAACTTTACATATATTACACGGACACGCACACCACTTCACAAACACGCGCACACACGTACACACGAACACCACTCTACGTTACACATGCATACAAATTACGTGTCATTGCTTGCCTGGCCAAGTGCTGAAAGCAAGTGCCTATTCGAGGAGGCAAGAAGCAGGGCAGGGTGACGTTACAAACCCCACGTCCGTGCACCATGCCTGTTCCTGAAATTGATTACAGCACCAGGTACTCAATGAGAGCTAAGTGGAACTAAAGGAGATCCAGGCCAGGTCCAGAATTCCTAATTTCACTCGCGTGGTGTTTTGCCAGGATTAGAACTTGGGTTGAGGTGATTTTAAAGCAGCTGTTATAAAGCGGCCGTGAAGAACCTGATAACCAATAACAAGTGGTGTCTGAACTTGTCTTGGAACTCTCTTGGGATGACTCAGCGGGACAAAGACGGCCGTGTTTGGTGCTGGCCACCCACCCCCTTGTGTACTGTACCTACCTTCATAGGTGGTTGCTAACAGCACTTGCCCCAACAGTCTGTTAAGGCTATATGGGGAGTCTTTGTGTGTGTGTGTGTGTGCGCGTGTCTTTGTTTTTGTGTGTGTGCTTGTGCGCTCGTGCCAGACGTAGGTCCCAGGGAGGCGCTGGCTCCCGTGAGCTGAAGGAGCCCGGATTCCCCCAAGTGTTTGGCCGCGAGCTGAGCGGCAATGGTCGACGTCCACACACTCTGCTTCAACATCAGCTCCGTGTTCTTAGCCATCGCTGGACAGTCACACAGACACGGGGAAACGTGAAGGGAAGTGTTACAGAGTTGATGAATTTAGTGCCATTGTATGTATGTATATTGGATTTATTTCGCACCGTATGTAGCCAACCGTGCTGATCAGAGGTGCGGGCAAGGAAGTTAACAGGGGTGATCATATGGATAAAATGGTTAGTGGCTAAGCAGCCTCATTTAACCAATTTGCACAAACAATGCTTAACTCACGATTTGAATGCTGCTAGCTTAGTTTCCTATTGTGAGTTGAAAGATGCAGGGAAATTTTCTGGGGTAAAAACATTTAATTGTCACATGTATTTGAGGACACCAAATAAAACAAATGTCTGGCTGCTCGGTTATGTGACAAATCACTCATCTCCATAAGAGATTTCATATCACACATTCATCCTTCGAAAGCTGATACGTTTAGTACCATTGTGTGAGAGGTTAACAGTGGTAATAATATGGATAAACTATACTCTACCACGGGAATGGGAATTTCAACTACATGTGACTACCAATGAGGTGAGTGCCACCCCAGTACTGATGATGAACAGGGAAAAACACTACGATGTTATCAAATTTAATAAAGGAGCACAGGGCAATTATGATCTGGGCTACAAGGTTGGAGTTTAGAGATCAGTGTGGTGGTGTTGTCGCATCTACCCTTGGACTTGGCACTTCCCCCAGCCCAGCCCCCAGCCACACAGAGCAGAGCGTCGAGTTTGTTATCTCCCAGCAGAGCGGCCACCTCACCTGCCACCTGCAGTGCTCGCACAGACGGCACACACACAGGCAGCACACAACCGTCATTTGCCACGAAGTGGTAGTGATGTCACCACGGTGCTTGTGCTAGGCTATATGCACTTTAAGGCCACGTGAAGTGTCGACCGCCCACTGGCAGGTCACAGGACAGACCCAGGTGCCATGGGTTGACTGACTGAGCTGACTGACCGATGCACCATCTGTGTCCTCTACTACACCAAGTTGTATGTGTTTTAGCCGCCCAGCTAGCGTCGCTCCTCTGCCCTCCATTGTTGCTGGAGGGCGTCTGCCTCCAACTGTCCAGTAGCAGCGTCCTTCATGAGCCTCCTCCACAGAAGCAGATTATGACACCGCTGGTACCAGTTATTGGCAAGCCCACTCAGCTCCATATCTTCTTAGACCACATCACTCCATCTCTTCTCTAGTCCCATGCTGCGCTCGTTTAGCCCCCTCTATCCGGCTGAACAAAACAGCAAACACACAGCCACCCCCCGCTTATCATCGGGGCAAGGTCTGTTAGTGAGTAGATGTTAACCCTTTTCCCATTCCTAGACGTCTGCAAGTTGCAGGGTGGGTCCCGTTCACCGCTGAATCTCGGAACGCGCAAGCGGTTAGTGTTAATTTTATTTAGAGGCATAGCGCCGCTGTTTTAAAGATATTGTACGCAACGCAGAGAACTGTAGCGATATGACCGCACTCGATGATAGCTGGCGCCAAACTGTGCCACACGCCCTCCTGACTCTTTTCATAGAGGCCCAGCTTTGGATGTTTGGTGAATTTCCTTTTAGTATTTTTTACCCCTGCAGAATGAAAAAAAAATGCCCTGATACAACCCTATGCATGTTTCCACATACATGTCTAAACATTGTCGTTGAATACGAAGCCTGCACAACACATGGCTACAGTTTTCAAGTACCAGCACATGGTTCGCCACGCAGAGGAGACACATGACACGCAGCTCCGTCAGTCTGTCGCGGGCTACGACCCCGTGTGGGATTCATATCGCACTGGCGTCAGCAGTCTGCGTGACTCAATGGGAAGCGCCGACAACAGCAGTTGCAGGAGCCCTCCAGCACCGACGCTCTTGGGAGAACGGTGGCATTTTTAATATTCATGGACTTCCCAGTGCCTGCTAAGAGCGGAGGTTGTGCAAGCTAGGGGCATCATAGGGGCGTCAATGGGGAGATTGCAGCCAATAGAAATAGGCAGATTTACAAAATCTTAGACGCACACATATCAGGTTGCAGTTGATAGGCACGTATATGCTCGGCGTGTGTTGTTGAACGCACGCATATACGTTTAGAGTGCCACGGAGTGCAATTATAGTGCTCTTAAGCTATCGTATTAATCGTAATTTTAATAAGTAATGCGACACATAACGCTGGTCAGCCCAGTGCTGCACTTGCATCACAGTGCTTTGTCTCAGCCTGCACAGATTGCTCCATCTCAATCTGATCCCCGCCGTGCGCAGTGAACAATGCACGCCTTGGTGTGTTGCTTTACAAAATCAATGTGTTTATTGGAAAACTCCAAGCCCAAATTTCCGCTGTGCGTTTCTATTGGCCCCTGCAGTGGGTGGACGCGCGAGAGGATGATGGGAGGGAAGGCAGCAGAGGGGGTGTGTAGTGAGGATAGATAACTGGATTGGAGGAAAGACCTTTGCCCCTGGCCGCTGCAGTTTCTACCACATTGTGAGAAGGGGCTTTGTTGTAGTAAGGCTCATGGGGTTTTCATTAAATTGTCAGTAATTCCCAGCAGGGCGCTTCACAACCACAGGACACAGTGACAAATAATGCGTCGTTCATTCCGCCGATTAAGAGACTCACATGGGCAATCTCGTGAAGTTTTGTGTGAATGACCGTTTCTCATAAGTTTCTACCATGGGATTTAAAACCGTGCACGGGAGTGAGAGTACGTGACTGCCTGGGTATGGGGTGTCGTGGTGTAGAGGTTCGTGCACTGTGCTTCAATCCTGTTGACCTGAATCGCAGGCCAATGACATCAGTGGCGATTGCTATCTGACAACACTCTGGGCCTCCCCCATAGGTTGACTTTACCGTGCACATGAAGTGTACCTGCTCGGCTTGCTCAGCTAAGGAGTCGCTGGGCTTGACCAAAACGTTGGCGTCCGCAGCATCATTGGCCACCAGGTCAACAGATGCCACCCACTGCAAAGGAGGGACAGACAATGAAAATGGTGACTCGCCAAACAGCAGAGAAGTAAACTTGAGTATGCCAGACGGATCAGGGGGCAACAGCAATGAGCTCATGATGCCAAGATATTCGGTAAAGAATCCAGGCTTCAGCCACCTGTGACCAAACTGGATTTTTAGTGTGGCAAGTCGATGGTCTTAGCCTGGTCACCAATGGCACAAAAACACCACACATGAAATAGGATTTTGCACTCATTTGGCCAAATTTCAGAAGTGAATTTTTAATTTTAATATTTCGGTTTAACTACCACAGTACGAATATTTGTCTGCAGCAAGTGCATATACAAGGGAAATCAATTTTCCTTGTTCCATATGTGGCTTAAGGAAGTCATTTGAAAGGTGTTCAGATACAGTTCTGTGATATTATGTCCTTCCGCACACATCCATCCTCTACCACAGAAGTGATGCGGCACTTTTCGATTTAAAGCTTTTGTGACTGCAGAGATTCATATTCTTGGATCTTTCGGTAAAGTCACGTAGAAGGGAAGTAACTAAATGTTTAATTTTTATTATTTTATTATTTCCCTTCTACGTAACTTTACCGAAAGATCCAAGAATATGATGCGGCATTGCCTGTGCAATGACGCCTCATCTCTTGACACTGGTAACACCACGACCGGAATAACACCGGGAGAACACACACACACTAAACAATCCTGGCCCCATGTGGAGGAGGCACAACCTCTGTAAAATCGGAGACACGCAATCCAAAACCACCGTAAGCAAATGAAGCAACACATTCTACCATTGTACAGACGTGGTCCAGATGTCTTGTGACCCCCATTTAATGTTCTAAAACGTAATATTTTCAAAAAATATATATACAGTATACGGTTAATGTAAATCAAACTCTACCCGGTAAGTGGAGTTTGCGAGCCCCTATTAAGTAGGGAATGGAAGAAGCAGGCACGGCAGGAAATAAAACATCCCCGCGCCTGCTACAATTCGAATTAAATTACGAATGTTGGCCGAGCCGAGGGGTTAAAAATATAAAAACATTGATATATTATTAATATAAAATATAGATTAATATAAAATTACAAAAAACATGAATATAAAATATATTAATATAAGGGGGGAGGGGCGAAAATCCAACCCGGGTGGATGGCCAGCACCACGCCCGGCCGCCTTTGTCTCCCCAGTGCTGGCGAAGTTTACACAGCGCACCAGGTACTCGTTTGAGGCCGAGTCGACCTAGGGGAGGGCCCAGGACCGCCCGTCTCCGGTATTCCCGTCCCCGACGTTCCACTCCGGCTCCTCCCACAGGTCGCACAGAGACAAAGATCCCCCGTATAGCCTCAACACACTGCTAGGGGCAGTGCTGTCCGCGAGCAGCAAACCCCATGAAGGGAGGGCCACACTCGAGCAGTCGCAGATCACAAGTGTCCTACAGCTGCAGCAGCTGCAGCTGCTGTTGTTGTTGTTGATCTCCTGTTGTTGTTGTTGATCTCCTCACCCATTGCCTCGCCTTGAAGATCTTCACGCACTCCGCGCCCAGAGCGCCTCGCCCGCCGTACACGAGCACCCGCCTCGCCATTGTCCGTCCCTGTCCCTGCGTGTGTCTCTGTCCCTGCGTCTGTGTCGTCCCAGTGTCTGCGGCCCCCGAGGTCTGCTGCGCGTGGTGCCTGCGCGTCCGTCTCCTCCCTTCACATCCGAGGTGACAGCGATCGCCCCGCCCACCGCCGCCCCGCCCACCGCCGCCCCGCCCACCGCCGCCCCGCCCACCGCCGCCCCGCCCACCGCCGCCCCGCCCACCGCCGCCCCGCCCACCGCCGCCCCCCTGGCTGCCTCCAGATCTCGTGTTCCCTGCCCACAACACATTCCTCCTGCAGAGGGAGCTGGTAGGAACGTTGGGTTGCTCGGTCAATGGCCAGGGTCAACGGCGGCGTGGTGTATTCCGCAAATATGCCCGACTGTGAGGGCGGGCACAAGCCGGCGTGAGGAGGTTAAACGTTGAGTTTTATAAGGGCACCACGGGGTGACCAGCCCCTCCCCACCCAGCCCCACCCTCCCCACCCAGCCCCTACCTGCACGACGGACATAATAATCCCGTGGGCTGGTGTAACCAGGAGGTTCCTACCAGTATTGTTTTGCATGGTTCATCAATAGCCTCTCTTCACAATTCCCTCATTGGCTCATGAATGCTCTCCCAGATCACAAGTGTCCTATTTAATCCATACCTTACTGTCCCACTCATACTCTGCCTGATTAATACCTTACATAGTTCACAAATGAACTGACAATCTTAAAGTTAGTTAATAAATTCCTTGTCCTGTTCATAAGCGGGCAGCATGTCATTCAGGACTGAAGGCAAGGCTTGATGTATCACACAAATGTTATGAAACTCCCTTCCTCTGGGTATGGGTGCCATACCCTGGGTCACCACAAGGCGGTACAGCAAATATGGGATATTGTTACCACTTGCATGCATGTGTTTTCTCCTCGTGCTAATTTCCTCCCTTGTAAACCCGTTATTGGCCGATACCACCTTCACAGAGAATCGCAGAACTTGGGGTGGAATGTGCAATCATCTCACCACCTGGTTGGCTTCCTGAGAATCATCATGCCTCTTGAGCTGTTATCTTGGAGGGAGTGAAGACTGTGCAGTTACAAGTTGAAATTATTATAAACCATCAGTATGGCATACTTTCCCTGATCAACTCAGACAAGCCATGTCTGGCTCACTCCAATGCTACGTAATTCCAGTCTCATTGCCAATCAAGCCTCACTACCTTTGCAGACTGTGAAGCTGGAAAGCAGCTGGGTGAAGTAGCATCTCATTGCTAAGAAAATAAATGTGCAAGAGGCATTTCATGTCTCAAGATATAATATATTGTACAGACACGATCACCATATACTGTTCACGCAAATGCTAATTGGCACATTTGTAACACAAAGCACAACACAGACTCAGTGGGAAGGCTTTTTTGTCAAGATATTTATGACCATTCATGAATGCTTACAGAAATGCAACTGCTTTTGAGAGGAACCTGTTCAAAGTTGATCCACATTAACAAGCGCTGTGTTTGGATTTGTTGATATGCACCCATCATTATCAGGCATTACCTTAACAACCTCCACTAGTGCTTAATAAGCACCACAGCAAAGAAGATTGTAATGGGCTGGAACCTATATAGCATTGAATATTCATGTTATATATACAGTGCACATGTTTATACTGTGTACATGTGTATCAAATGTCAAAAGATGGCATCAAATGAGCACTGGGAGTAGTAATCAACTCTGTTGCTGCATAAACATTCCATCCTGCAACACCAGTAGTGGAGGTCTGCAAAATGTAAAGTTAACATCCTGTGGCAACACGATGCACTCTCGTAACTTAGCCACTAAGCCATCACATTTAAGCATGTACACATCCAATTTACAGATGAAACCTGTGTTTGGGGCATCACGGGTGGAAAAAACATCCATAGTGAGTTCTCAGCAATGTTACACTGTGGCACCTTTCATTGCTGAATCGGTCCAATTTTCTTTGGGGGCATGGCACGCTATACTGTACCATCAGCGAGGTGCAAATCAACTGAACCCAGACTGTCAGCTTCATTCAGGCCCTGAAGTTGGTGCGTTCATGGTAGAGCTGGTACGGGTCGTCCTCGTACCACTTGCGGCGCTTCCAGTAGTCGGTCACCATCTTGTCGAGCAACTTAGACTGCCACTTGTTGCACAGCACATGCTGACGCAGTCGTCGAATGCGCGGCTTGCGCTTCTTCCACAGGCGTTTCTTGCACCCGGCCTGTGCTCGTGCAAGTGAGTGTCCGAAACACACACACACGAATGCGAGGAGACAAGCAGTGAACACACACACACATTTTGATTTAAAGCTTTCGTGACTGCAGGGATTCATATTCTTGGTTCTTTCGGTAAAGTCACGTAGAAGGGAAATAATAAAATAATATAAAACAATAAAAATTCTCACGACGTTTCGACTGCAACACAAGCAATCATCATCAGGCATGAAATCCACAGCAAGAAAATTTGAAGAAAAAAAAATTCTTGCTGTGGATTTCACACTTGATGATGATTGCTTGTGTTGCAGTCGAAACGTCGTGAGTATTTTTATTGTTTAATATTTATATTATTTTATTATTTCCCTTCTACGTGACTTCACCGAAAGAACCAAGAATATACACACACGCATATGAAGCAGATCCAGACACACATGCACAAATCTACAGATACACATACACACAAAACATGCCTGTACAGTCCCACAAAGACATACAAATATGCAGGCCCAGAGGCACATGCACTCATACTAATTGTGGTTCATTACACATGTTCACGCATACATTCTCATTCCTACACGTGCATAAGTACATATATACACAGCCAGTCACCCCAATGAGTTTTACAATTTCTGTAAAAAGAAACGAAGAATTAGCATAACACAATTGTTTATATAAAATTAATGCAAATATAACAAACGGAGATGATGTACAGTCTACATAGAAAAATACGAGATATCAAGGCAATAAATATATGGCAGGCCAGATGTCATAGACAATACCTAATCTAACAGTATATGTGTCTAAGCTAAAGGGGATACCGTCTATAACGAGTGTGAGGAAGCACTCATCTGTTTACAGCCATGAACCAGTCATGTAAATTCCACATACATTTTGTGGGGACAAATCCAAACAGAGTTGTATTGTTGTGGTCATATTATCAGTCGTGTTTATTGGCTACTAGGTGTGTAAAAATGCATCAATTAAAATTCATTCTTGCAATTATATTAAACACATCAAATGGTGTGTAAAAATAATTCGAGTCATAAACGTTCTCACCAAGGCTCGAAAAAGGGAGCTCAAATTCAATCTTCAAGAGAGGCCCAATATTAATCAGAATTAACCTTGCTCTGCAAACTGCCCACACGTATACAGAGCACAAAGTATTCCCTGTCAAACTGTGCCTTGTGGTACCCGTACAGCTGTGCCTCATGATGCGTTAAAGGAGCACATGGGTGCGGGTATTGACGAAGGTGGTGTCATCTCAGACTACTGAGCAAATGTTTCGTGTCACCCTCAAAAGATAAAGATCCCCCATATAGCCTTAACATACTGTTGGGGCAAGTGCTGTTAGCGAGCACCTATGAAGGCCGGAAAGGCACACGAGGGGGTGGGTGGCCGACACCACACCTGTCCGCCTTTCTCTCCCCAGTGCTGGCGATGTTTACGCAGTGCACCAGGTACTCATTTGAGGCGGTGTCGACCGAGGGGAGGCCCAAGACCAATACAGATAATCGTCACTGGTGTTGGCTGTGAACGGGAGTCGAACCCGGGTGGCCGGGTTCGCAGCGCAGCGCAGCGTAGCGCTAACCTGACGACGCAGCCATAGGCCGCAGTCCAGCCGCAGGAAGCGCTTCACCACAGCCTTCACCGTCTTGCGCTTCCCCCTTCCCTTGCTGAAGTAGATGAGGCTCCGACGAGGAGGTTGCCCAAGCGTTCCCGTTACCTTATTATGCCCGAGCACGCGGAGAGCTCCAATGCTCCTGAATTGTGAGAGAGAGAGAGAGCAGAGACCCAACCCGTCATTGCAGTAATAATTAACCTGATAGAACTCTGGCAAAATTAACGGAACTCGTGATTGGTCGTTACTCTTAACAAGTTAATAAAATATTAATGTTAGAGGTTAAAAATATTGTCCTCAGGCTGCTATTATAAGTTAGGATATATAGCAATTATTCAAGGAAAAACCACATAGTTTCGGTAGCAGCTATTTGTATGGTTATGGGTTAAAAAACATAGCTATACATTTTTTGTGCGTACTCACGCCTGCGTGCTTGGAGAGACGGCAGTGCCTATGCGGAGACCGCTCAGGAGGGTGGACAACCCCCTCAGGTGGACACCGACAGGGCTGGGTTGGGCGGCGGGGAGAGCGAGCAGGGGGCCCCGCACACTCGGCAAACTCAGGACGCGGCGACACAGGGCTCGGCGCGCGGCGGGGAGGCCGGCCCTGAGCAGCCCTGGAGACGCGGGGTGGAGGGGGTGGAAGAGGAGTGAAAGCAGGTTCGGGTCACGACACCAGGCAGACGAAATCGACAGCCAAGAGGCAACGCGTGAGGGAGGAAACACCGACCTGCAAGCCCGTGCCAAAGCCAGGTATTGCATTCAGTGCGGGGTGCCATTGACGTACTTTGGATGAAAGACTTTGCACGAGTGACTGATAAAAACAAAAAGGGCTACGCGAGTATTTTGCGTAAGCCGTTGCAAGCTGTGCAACATAAGGCACACACACGCGTTGTATAGGCTGCTGTGCGAGGCTACATTATCAGCCAAAGGCAATGCAGCAAAATTGTTACACTGCACTATGCTCTCCCGGCTTCCTGAACCCGCACTGCCCAGCGTGAAGTTTGTGAGGCCCCTCGACCTGCACGGCATCGGGAGGCTCTCGTGCAGCAGTGGACTAACAAAGCAGCTGCAACATGCAGAACTTTACAGAACTTGCCCGTGTTTTATGTATAAAGGTAGCTCAGCAGCAGAGCGAGTGGCTCGCAGTCGGTTGGTGGTGGTGGGTGATCGATACATAAACTGCCACTTTATATTTAAGGCAGCAAGCGGTTGTCCTACGGATAATAAGACTTGCCTCCACCAGAGCAATGTGGATGTGTCTAACCCCTGCCTCGGGGCTGTACACAGGAGATGAGCACCGCCTCGAGTGTTCACGAGAGCACAAACAGTCCCGAGTCAATCCTGAGCGACTCGGGACTGGTACTCACTCACACACACGCGACGGTGCCAATCCCGGGGGGGTCCAGTGCCACCCCAAATATCTGGCGCACAAACAGCGCAATGTTTCCCCACAGTCGCCCCCCGCCCGCCCCCCACACCCCGCCTCAACGCGGAGTGCCGTCGCAGCCCGTGGTACTCGCGAGAGGAGTCGGCTACGGCCGAGGTCTGCCTTGACCCCTCGACACTCACCCGCCGCGCTCCTGCACACCACGGGGGCCGCCATCTCGAACGGAAGTTGTCGCCGCACTCCACCACCCCAAGAAAAGGTTCCGTTTCCGGTTGACATCGTGACGTCACCACGCGGGGGGGGGGGTGACGTCCCGGCGAGCTCGGCAGGATGCTGCGCGTACAGTAACCACCGCGGCGTGACGTCACTTCCCGTGTGGACCAGGCAGCCATCTTGTTTAGTTCACGGTAAAATTATATTTTGTATTGTTGGGTTTAGATCGCGTTAATAAGTGTCGTTAAACCCGACGCAGCCGATTAGTAAGGTTTGTCACGTAAATAAAACGTTCCAATTAGTACACCGGTGTGTTGGGGAGTAAACTAGCAACCTTTAGTTTGGATATCGGTCGCGAAAGCCGACATGTTGTTTAGTTCACAGGCTGCGGCCCTGCTCTCCCTGGCGTCGTGGTGGAGATGATAAAACAACGAAACTAAAGGAGCAGACGCGACGTCTCGTTCCTGCACGTCTCTCCACCCGCGTAGACAAGACGAGGATTAACGCAGCCAGCCTGTAAGCTGGCGCAATGCCAATTAAGACGATCGATATCGAAACTGTAGTTTAGAAAGCGGGAGAATTGAGATTGATTCTAAGCGGCAAATTCAAATCTCTGAAAGAATGATGAATGGATGTCACCGGTGTAAATGGTGAAATAGCCATCACAGACAAATGGTGTCGTGTCGGTAATTTGAGTGATGTCTGCTGAACATCCGATGGTCAGGCGTCACATCACAAAAGGATCGTTGTGGCACATGAGGAATGGGTCACTCTTTTAATAAGTCCTCGTGTGTTGTTGCAGTACATCAATGCACGTGTGTACACCAGCATGTGATGCTGGAGTTGGGCCGGCAGGGTTATCGATTAAGCGCACGTGGACACCAGTCACGTGGTAAATGGCGACTCGGTGAAGATTGCTGACACCACGTGCTGTTACAAGGACCCAAAGGTTGTTTTTGATCGCTATAGAAATGTTCTAGACTTTAAGCTTGGCTTTGAATTGTTTGTGATATATTCAATTGGAGGGGTTTTAGCACTGTGCATTGTAAAGGATGACGTACTGTAGTTAATACATGTAATTCTTAATTATCTAACCCTAATACTGTTTATTCTATAACCATGCCCCTAGAGTATGACTACTTGTAATTCTATTGAGAATAGAACACATATATTAAGTTACCAATATAAGTGGATAGTATAGATAGACATAAGCTGTATCAAGATTGTATCTATATCAATCTTGATAAGCTGTATCAAGATCAAAATTTATACAGCTTAGGATTAAAGTAAAATTCGAAGTGAAGTGCAAGGGTTATTATCAGTAGTAGAATTGGGTTTAAGAGAAACTTATTGACGAACCTGACGTGTCCACCAGTCACATGGTTAATGGCTACTCGGTTCAAGAATTGCTGTGACACTGACACACGTGCTGTTGCATCTCACAGTTTAACCACAATGTTTTAAATTTTGATTTAAAGCTTTCGTGACTGCAGGGATTCATATTCTTGGTTCTTTCGGTAAATATATTTGCATTATTTTATCATTTCTCTTCTATAAAATATATTACTTTATTATTTCTCTTCTACATGACTTTACTGAAAGAACCAAAAAATTAACCCGTAAAAACAAAGTTTTTCACTCTAAATCCTTTATATGCGTGGCGGCTAGAGTCCTCTCGTCCTCTGGCTTGAGATGCTGCTACCTATGGGTCAGATGATTGTCTGCCAGCATTAAGCAATTGGTAATTAAATATTTTTAAAAAAATTCCCTAAACAGTGTAAAATTTTGGAATTTTTTTTCACGAAAATTAATTGTCACGCACAACGAGTCTGTGTGGAAAATGTCAGCTCGATTGGATCACGGGAAGTGTGTTAAAAAATGACCGAAAGATTTGCACGGTCGTAAGCAAGCAAGCAAGCACGCAAACAAACTTAATATAAAGGATTTAAAAATACACAATACATGTGTTTGCCCTCGATTTGGAGCACCTGCCCACGTCCTTCATTTCACAACAACCGGCTTCCCCCCAGTAGTGAATATTACGTTCTTTATTAACTTTAACATCTTAATTCTCATGCGAGACGGACTGAAACACATTCCGTTGTCTAAAATATGAGCTTAGGCGGCGTCGTTGATGCACCAATCCCTGATGTCGAGTTGTCAGTGCGCTAAAATGATGTGATGGTATCTCCACCCAAACATGCACTACTGCAGACTCTTGTATTTGCTCAATATTACTTTTGGGACTTAAATTATCCAACTTCTCACGCATCATGTCCATTGAATACGTTTGGAACACATTTATTCACAGTTCTCCCACAAATATGCAAATGCTAATTGCAGATTTATATTTTAATGCATTAAATTGGCTGGTTCAAATCAATCATACATTTTCCACCTCTAGCCAAAACCTGCCATGGAAATTCTTTCCCACTTAATATCATTGTAAACCACGACATTTAACAAGCACTGTGCATGGCTCACGTGTGAGTTCATAAAAGCAGCGAGTTAAAGTGGTTCAGGTCCTGGATGCAACCGACAATTGAGAATGTGGGCCACAATGAACAAATGGCATTTTATTGTTGCAAATCACTCGGGGTACACATTCTGTTAATAACAATACCACAAGTGCCACTTTCAAGATCTGGTCATTTAATAACCCTCCTAAAGATGTAGTGCTATAACTCCCATTACTCAAGCAAGACAGCAGGCAAAAACACACCAACCCAGCTTCCTTATTAAAAATACAGTAGCTGCACACCACGTGCATTCTCACCACTAACCATTAGAACAATTAAGTTAAGTGTTTACACCAATCACCGAGTACCAAACTAAATATATCCCTTTGGAATGTTCACCATTTTAAGCAGCACAATGACTGACATTTTTTTCTCCAAATGTATATCAATGCTTTGTAGAAATTGTAAGAAAGCAAGGAAAAAACGCAAACAAAAATATCATCGATGCATATTTATGAAACATGATTCAGGTACACGAGACAACTCGCTCCCCAGACACCTCTCCCCTGCACAGCCAAGACAAAATCAGGAGGAGTCACCTGCCCCTTAACCAACAATCACATCGAACAAAGTTAATCATTTCAAGAAAGTAATTGGTGATGTAAAAAGTCAAGTGTCTCCCAGCTCGAATGAGCAATGGGGTGGTGATGTGCTCCTGAGCCAGTGGAAATTCTACATTTTCATTAGGCAAGGACCCTTGCAACCAGAGAACATTGCATACATTGGTACTCAATCTATCCAGGATGACAGGCAGAATAAAATATTCCACTTTTTTTGTTTACCAAACTGCCTATTGTTATGAAGTGTTGATGTCGTGATCCATGGATGACAAATAAACCAATGGCTGGCCGAGCGGGTCCAGACTTGATGGGGGTGCAGGGCCTCCACGGTACTCCACTCGCGTGCGAGGGGGAAGGCAGGCGCGTTATTTGAAGGTGATGGTCCACTGCTTGATGCAGGCGTCGTGCGAGGTGGTGACGAGGGTGTGCTCGTCCAGCCACGACAGCCCGCTTACGTGGTTCATGCGGTGGCAGTCTGCCAAGAAGGGAGAGCGTAGCCACGAGAGGTCATTGGCATGGCACTTGGGAGTGTTAGTTCGTTTAATTAAATATGTAATCTTTCATCACTTGCAACAATGCGGTTCTCGGCAAACGCCCCTCCCGAGAAGCTGCACAAGGTGGCGTACGCCGCCTATAGTCTGCATTATGGAGGATTTGGTGGTTTGTAGAGAGGTCACCATGTGACACATCCACTTGTAGAGGTGTGACGTGGCCGGTAGATGGCAGGATAGCAGAAAGGTTGCTATTCTAGGATTCGTAAATAGTACCTGCGCTGCACACCAACATTTTTAAAATTAAAAATAGCCACAGAAAGTCGCCGCTGAGAAAAATCTTGAGACTACATTTTTCATTGTCTATAATTGCATAAAGAACAATATTGCTACAGATACAGCAGCACTAGTCTGCCAACTATATTGTGTCGAGTTAAAAGTACGTAATTCTCGTGATTATATTTTCCTAAATTTAGTTTACGCAGGTTTGATTTCCAGCAGCAATCTTGAACGTATGAATCCTAAAATATAGTTAAACAAAACCATTCTAATATGTATTACACTGAAGATATGTTCAAGAGCATGCATTCAAATACAGATCTTTTTAATAACAAGAAAAGCCATAGTAGCATCATGCATGGAAGATGTTACTTCCAAGTTACCATACATGCCAGTTGCCGCCCTTATTATTTTCCTTCAGCGTGTAACTGCAGAATAAATCTGTGTTTAAAATCTGTTTTCCCTGCTTAAAATTGGCAATCGGGTAGCTACATTTCCTTGGTGGGTTTCAACCAGCGGTTAAACATGTAATAATATGCAGGGAACTGTAGCCAGCATAAGGCAGGCCCAGCATTGGTATAGGCAATGCATCACAAGGGGTCATGGGGCCGTACCTGCCATCCTGACTTTGTTGTCCATGTCACCGATCGTCCAGACGTACACCATCATGTCCATGCCACTGGAAGCCAAGTGGTGGCTGTCAGGTGACCACGCCAAGCACACTACCTTGGCATGGTGGCCATAGTAGGAATTCTCCAACTGCAATAAGACACATGCACGCACACGTAAGGAGTGTGGACTTGGAGCAGCAATTTCAAGGGTGTAATCTGGACTCATAAAACATCTCAATGAGGACTAACAATGGGGTTTTAGAATCAGAATGGTAAGCAAGAGGAACCTCAAATCACACCGACACACATTGGGTCCACCTTGTGAAACAAGAACTTGATTAATTAAACAAGATGTAGATTTATTGCACTTGACTAAAATTATTTCAGAAGAGTACGATACGATAAGTAATTTGGATGTAGGATTGGAATAAAAAATACCCAAACGTGAAGGGATATCCAAGATTTTTTGGAAAATTATCAATCACTAAAGGGGAGTCCAGTAATGAAAGTTTGTCCAATGTTTTATCTTATACATGCAAGATGATGGCTTATCTTGCATGGATATTTGACTGGGCCACCCAGAGAAACCCCACTCATACGCAGG